TTTTAGGGGACTCTTGTACTTCGATTATTGTTGTTGTGGATATCTCTTTATAGCTGTTCTCTTTTTGGTTATTTAATCAGCAATTTGAGGAATTCTGTGATTTTTATTTTTTTAGTAGGAGAAAAGTGTAATTATTATTGCATTTATTGCATAGAGAGTTAGCAAAATGGGTGACTAAATTTTGCAATTATATATGGATAATGTTGCAATGAATTAATTTGATTTGGAACCTCGTGAAATAATAAATATAAAGAATAGATAAATATACTATATTATAAAAGGTATACTGTATTATAGCAAACACACGATAATGTACTAATTAGTTATGTACATGTATTTGGAATATGCATTTTAAATGACTATTATTATTATTACTCTTATTTATTGTTATTTATTGCTATTACTTATTGTTATTACTCTTATTTTGAGGTCTCTATTATTATTACAGAATAAGAAATTTGAAGAATTTGGGGCTTTTATTTATTTATTTATTCATTTATTTTTTCTTTAGCAGTAGAATGGTGTAATTATTTTATTTATTGCAAAGAAAGTTACCAAAATGGGTGATTAAATTTTGTAATTATACATGGAAAATGTTTCAATGAATCAATTTGTTTCAGAACCTCACAAAATAACAAATATAAAGAATAAGTAAATATACTATATTATAGCAAATACCCAATATTATACTAATTACTTATGTACACCTATATGTATAGTCGTAGTGTTACTCTAATTTCACTTTAGTTCATAATAAATAAATAATAAATAAATTTTAACCGTAACATCTTCTTTGTCTGCAGGCCCTACTCTTATCACAGTAATATAAGCAACTGACTGGAGAGTTCAAACCTCTCCAGCTAGCGATATTCAGTGAGATAACGAAAAGAATAGATCGGTCAAATATGTCTTTAATTTTCGAATTATAATAATACCAAGCATACTATCTTAGCCACTGAATCTACTTTTAGAAAATTCAACAAACAAAAGCAACCATCACCGAATAAATCACGAAAGAGTATTATATATCCAGATGTTATATATATAGGCAACGTTAACAAATACAGTATTGTATAAAATGTGCCAAATATTCTCCATCTATATAGAACATGCGATAAAACATAATACTATCGTACGAACCCAGTGCGCATAAATAAAAAATAAATTCACAAAATTATACATTTATTAAACAACCTCTCCTCCATATATTATAAACATCATTACATAAAATAAAATATCCTGCAACAAAAAATTAATTGCAAGGCGTGTACGGTAAAAATTAAGATACGGGTCAAAAATGACCCATGCAGCATCGCTCGCCTACAGTATTCGACTATTCGATGGTTAACGTGTTAAAAACCCGTATTTCCTGTCAAAA